AAGCCCTGGATATTCTATTACTTAATCTGTGTCCTGCCAATGAGTCGAAGGTGGCCCACTGAACAATATAATCTAGAGAAGAAAATTATCAATCATTTTTTACATTCATTATTTTATTTTTATTTTTTGTGGTTAACGTATAATTATCTTGAGAAAGTTAAAATTTCTGGCAACACGGTATCGCAAAAATTCATTTTTGGAAATTTTGATTGAATCGAAGAATATTTAGAATTAACGAATTAATTTCTTTTGTGCTTTACTTTATTTATATGACTCCGTATTTTGGGCTATAATAGCCTGAATTGTATTTGTATTTAGTAATTTAAATACTTTAATATATTCCTCTCAAATAAATAAAAAAAGAGGTTAATTCCTTAAAGATATATTTTAAATATGTTACCGATTTTTCGGATGTGACTGAATAACCGCTTATACATGCAAGCACTAAAAGAAAAAATCAACTGGCTAAACCTGAATATTCCTTTTCATTCCTTTTCAAGAATGGTTACTGTAATTTTTTATTTACCTTAGAATACGAAATTTAAAAATGTTTATATATTGCTGGTAAAAAAGCTTATAAACTTTTGTCTATTTAAGCATCTTTTGAACTTTTTATTTTGGAGGAATTTTTCAAATCGCACAAAGTCTTCATAAAAGTACTGTTTTTACAGTATCTCACTAGTAAACTAAAACTTGCAATCAGATTTCAGGAAAAACTGGACAATCTAAAACCGTGCTTTATGGTAAGCCCATAGGAGAGTTTAATGGACAAAGGGAAGTGGTACTTTGTTCGAAGCCCGTAACAGTATTTAATGAAAAGCGATATTAAAATATAATCTAAAACATTTCAATTTTAGCATTTGAGACTTTTATATCAATGGAAAAAACATATTAGGTTTGGGTTAAAACTAATAAATCGGATAACTTTATTTGAAGCTCTGAATAAACTTTCGTAAAAAAAAAAAAAAAAAAAAAAAAATGCTATGAGATAATCCAAAACGACAGGTATGTGATAGATAACAACATATTACATTCATAAGCATTAAATGTATTCTTAGAATTATGCTAAATACAAGGATAATAACTTTTTTATAAAAACGAGCTATCGTTATGAAGCAATTAAATGTATTAGCTCAATCCTCAATTTTTGGTTTGTTCCACTTCAGTGTCGAATAACTTTTCAATTAAAATGAATTTGTTACAAATATTATCGCAATGTATTATTTTTAAAGAAAGTATATAGAAAATAAATACATAATATAGCGAATATGAAAAGAAAGGTTGGCAACACTTAACGCTCTATCGAGAATTTTAAATATAAGCTGCTTTTAAAAATTTTGTGATTCTTAAGTCATTAATTTGTGAATTCGAAACACTATATGACCAAAATGTACTACAATCGATGCGATATTTTCAAATTAAAGCTTGAAAACGGATGTGTTACACGGGCACGTATCGTTATCATTGTATATTGCATAGAAGAATTTAATAATAAAAATCTGATGTGGACACCATATGACTTCTTTGTATGGCCTATTGAATTATATACATACATTTTGCTGCACTTCTTTTAAGCTTATTTCCTCGAATTTCATTAGAGATATATTTCTCATTCCATTAATTTAGTTCTCATTTCACAGAAAGGCAAAGATATATAAAATCTCAAAATGTCTTCACTACAAATTATAAAATACGGAAAAACCTAAAACATCAAATACAACTAAAAAAAAATTTTTTTTTTTTTTTTTTTTTTTTTTTTTTTTTTTTTTTTTTACTTAGAGTTTTTTTGGGAAAACAACCAGTTCGGCCAAGAAACAAGAAAACAAATTGCACAAAACTGAAACTTAAATTTTGATTACACCGAACAGGAAGACATTGGAGTTGGTGCACCACCAGACTGAATTCACTATTCAAATGTAAACAAATGGCGGCCTTGTTAGGTTTAGTGCCACTTTTTAAATTGTTGGTAGCTCTACAACTACTGCGCGCAGATTAACTAAATGCATAAAAACTTAATCTTTCAGAACACAAGAACAACGTAATTCAGTCACTTATAAAGCAAAAAATGCACAATTTACCGATATATAAGAATAAAAAACAAGCTCACCGAGCCGTCTAAGAGGGTGGGTATATATGTATATATATATATAGAGAGAGAGAGAGAGAGAGAGATAAATAGGTATGTATACGTTTGGTGTGGCCGATTGCAACAAAAAATAGAGGATCCCAGCTAGATGTTATAGCAGTTCCATATACAAAATTTCAATGTTCTAAGGCTAATCGTTTTTGAATTATGCGAGATACATACATACGCACGTACAGACGTCACGAAGAAATTCTTCCTGAATCCATTTTACAATCCGTTTTGGAAAAAAATAGTCCTTTATTCTGTTTTACGTACACATATCACGCAAAAAAATTCGTTAAAATGGATTCGAGAAAGATTAAAATGAGCATTTTCTTTGAAATATTAATACCCGAAATTTTTCCCGATCACAATACTCCCTTTACTTCTTGAAAGGAAGTAAAAGATGAATAGTGTTTAAAATTAACACTGATTCATAAAGTTTTTATTTCACATACGGATTAGAAGGAAGTTGGTAGTTTAATTAAACTTGTTGCTCTTCCCTCAATTCCATGTCTTAAGATGAAATTGGCGGGAGGTCATGTGCTGGCCACATCAGATTTTTTTTTTTTTTTTTTTTTTAAATGTTTTAAAATGTTAAAAATGAGAATCTAGGTACTTCATTGTTGATCTATTTGCTCTACAATGACCAAGAAACAGATAAATGATATGTGAATGAATGTACGCTCAGGGGTTTAGGCCTTTGTTTAGGCCCTAAAAGTCACCATCATGAAGTATTTATATCGTCTTCCATGATGTCACTTAATGCGCTGAAACTTAAACAGCACATCCTTCAACGTGTGTGGTAAAGAAAGAAATAAAGATCTTTTCTGCTATCAGAAACAAGTGGTTGTAAGAAATAGTTTTGATATCCACGTGCCCCTTTTCCTTGCACGGGTGACAAATTGTTCTAAAGTTGCACTTCTGGAACCAAACAGAACTTTCTTGTTGTATAGTGTCAGAGTGACATTTCGTTTTGACACATGACTCGACAGAACGGAGTGATTCACTCAGCTCTGTGATCATATATCTCTGAGATACGTCAAAAAGTATTTTCATAGAGTTCAAGTTTTATCCTGAAAAGCACGAAGTTAATGTATAATGCGCTTTTCTGTCAGTGGAAATAAAGGGTCAGATACTTTAACTATCATATAGCTGGAATTCAGTTTTGGGGAAAAGTTTCATGATATTTTAGACTGCTGTTTTTATATTCTCTTGCTATTATTAGAAACTGATCACCTTTCGGTTTCAGATTAAAACTTAAAATCTGAAAAAAAAAAAAAAAAAAAAAAAAAAAAAAAAAACAATATTTAATACTCCAATAAAATTCATTTTTATTTCTTCTAAATTAGATACTATACAGATTTTCTTTCTCTTACATAAACACATACACGCATAGAGAGATACAGATATTTGGAAAGAATTCATAATTCTGTGGAAATAATTTAAATGTCAGTTATTTTAACCTCGAAGAAGTATTTCATTTAGTGACGAAATCCAGTCTGTTACAAATAAAATCAGAAACATGACAATACATTTTTGCCAGTCGAGGAGGCTTAAGATCTTTTATTTATCAGCGGTATTATAAAAGTGTATAATATTTCAATGTAAAAAAATTGACTCATTTCAAACGTTATCTTATTTGTACGTTTGAGTAGCAACAACAGGTTTCGTAATAAGCGGTACTATTTTACACTATTAGTGTGATAGTAAAAGTTACATTTGTAATAGCGTTTAATATACCGATTTAAAAATTTCTTCTAGTTCTGCGAGCTATCGCATAAAATTAAATGGTGATGGTGCAATTTTATAGCAACGCATGATTGAGACTTCTTCCTTTCTAAGTTCCCCCCTTCCCTTTTAATTTTATTCAAATGGTAACATATTTTATAATATTTTGCTGTTTATATCACTTTATAATCAAAAAAAAGGGATTCAGATGCAAATATCAAAGCTTTTGAAACTGAAATTCTTTTCGAACTGAGTTTTAATTTTATTCAACAATAAAGATTTTATTTTCTGGGCTAGCAACATTAGATATTAATCTTATTTAAAAAAGAGCATTAGATATTAACCTTATTTAAAAAGAATATTAGATATTAATCTTATTTAAAAATAATATTAGATATTAATATTATTTAAAAAATTAGATATTAATCTTATTTAAAAAAGAATATTAATCTTATTTAAAAAAGAATATTAGATATTAATCTTATTTAAAAACATTAGATATTAATCTTATTTAAAAAAGAAGAGGAATGTTTGCATAATTTTTCTATTTTCCAAGTTTTGGAACAAAAATTAATAGTGAATTTATTTTTTCCAAAAAGTTAAACTCTAATCTAAAATTTTTCAAGCTGTAAATTGCTTTCCTTCAGACACATAATTATACAACTTTGTTCAACATAATTACTGCCAATCCTGTTGCATTTTTTAGAAAATGGACCCATTTCTGTTATACCTACGTCGAAGATAATCCAATCGGTTTGTCTCTTGGGTGCACTTGTAGCTAAAGACAAAATTACATAAAAATGGTAGCTTTTCTCTTCGGTTCGGTTCCCGTTAGTAAAAAATATTATCATCATCATCCTATTACTATAGTTTTCCTCTGTATTATGAAAATGTGTATCATTTTGTTATAAAATGACCTCTGCGAAGATTTCTTTCCTTAACAAATAGCTTTCGATTACTTTGCTGTTATTAGTGGCATTATTATTATTTTATATCACATTTAATATACATTAAACATTATGTGTTTTATATATTTTAATGTATATTTAACATACATTGTTGTATTTAGTATGTAATTGATTTAATACTTAATATAGATAAAATTATGAAACAAGGCATTAAAATCTCAATTTTTGTCTTTCAGCTATTCGGGACAGTGGTGAAGAAGGCGCGAACTCGGACTGCGACTCCGAACCTGGTTTGACACTGAAACGAAAACAGAGACGATCTCGAACCACTTTTACTGCCGCACAACTCGACGAACTGGAAAAAGCTTTCGAGAAAACGCAGTATCCTGACATATATGCGAGGGAAGAATTAGCGCAACGGACAAAGCTTACGGAAGCCAGGGTACAGGTAGTAATGTGTTTTGAATTTCTATCTTAAAACTTCACTTGGTATTTATGTAATGTTCAATCTTATCATCTAAGTTATAACATTGTGCAGCAAATCGGCTGTAAAATTTTATAACAATTTACGAAAATCTAAATAGCTGCCTTTATTCTAATTTTTAATATCTGAAATTTCGTTGTTTTCCCATCCACCAAGAGCCGAGCCGCAAAAAGCAAGTTTATGTAACAAACGAAAAACTAGTATGAAGAAGCAAAAGAAAAAGAACAGGATCTCAGAAATATTCAGTATATAGAAAAGCGGATTGCATTCTTCATAGGTTTACTAGGAAGAAGCAGATTATGCAAAGACATATTAATAAAATCCCCCATTAAGAACTAAAAAATTACATGATTTTATATTAATATACCTGCATCCCTGTACTGTGATTTTCCATACGTATTGAATGGATACGAATCAGTTTCCCTTAAAATGTCCTCCACCTCCTTTAGAAAGACAGTCTAGTAATCATGTAGTATACGGTCTACCGCTTTTAGTTGTTTCTTAGACGGCAGGTCTAAACCTGGTTGTTGTTTTAGTCTTTTTTTTTTTTTTTTTTTGGTCCACCATCTTATCGCCCATTTGAATTTAAACTTTAGTGGCGCCATCTGAAAAATAAATAATTAACTAAAATCAGTAAATCGCATACTGCATGAATACTGATCGTTCTTTAGTGCTTTACCCTAATATAACTAATCTAACTCCCCCCCCTTCCCATTGGCGGGCGCTTAGCCGACTTGGCCGGAAGTAGGCTTGGTCACTACAAAGGCCGGAAGTGGTGGCCACTTTATTGTGGAAGCATGTAATAGGTGGGCCACCGTTACCTCCTATGAAGGGACGAACAATTACAGTCATGCCTTCTCCGGCATTCGAAATCGGGCCTTTCGGTACCGCAGTAGGCTGCCCTAACCACACTATCTGGGTGGCAAATAATCTAATCTAATCGTTGTTGTTTTCACGCTGGTAAGATAATCTTATCCTGCCAAAATAGTAAATGCCGAATCACGCTTGTAAGATCTTTCATTTACCCTCGAAATTATAATGATACATTACTTATCAATGTGAAGAAGTGAAGTATTTAAAAGCGGAGAACATTTTAACATTTTACTGCAGGAGACTCAGTTAATTATTATATTGCTACTATAAACGATACTTCTAAGCCCATACGTTATGTACCTTGGCTACAGACATTTCTAACCCTTACTTGTTTACTTTCATCTGTAACAGGTAAATACAGACGGGCAGGTAAAATCTAATTTCAATAAGTTTCTGTAGTAACAGCTACATTGCATTTGTCAATAGGTTCATTTTCAATTTTTTAATTAAATTTACTGAGATATAAGGATTTTCATTTTATTAGATAATTTTTATTTAGTTTTTAAAAAGAGAGAGAGAGAGAGCTCTTCGATAATTTACTATATTTACAGAAAAATCTAACTTCTCCAATATTTGTACAGTAATAATTATGCATATCCTACATATGTCAAAAATATTTATCGATGCTTAAAAAAATTGATTCAAAGCAATAAAGTTTGTAATAAAAATTCGATTTTAATTGGTAGAAATTTAGGCTTTAAAATTTAAATTAGGCAATTATGTGCAATAGAGAAAAGATATAAATAGAGATAGAGTTGTTACAGCAATAAATAATTAAATCATTAAATGATTTAAAATAATTAGGCTTACAACCGTGAATCGGTGTTGATCGACTAGTTTGTACGATAGATAATCAAGGTTTGGTATTTATCTAAAACCACTGTTTCGTAATAATGAATCTGTGCTGAAACAGGTGTTAGTACGATAGATAATCAAGTTATAATATCATCTCAAGCAATAAAATTTGCAATGCAAATTCGACGGTAGCGGAGATAATAGCATGGTAGATAATAAAAGGCCTGTATTTGCTTAAAGCAAATCTAATTTTTTACAGAAAACCGATCTTGACGGAGATATTAGCACTAAGGTCATCAAGGAACAGAATTTGCCTGCAATAATTACGTTTGCATTCGTAAAATCGATTTTGAAAGTGTTTTAAAACAACAGATAGTCGGAGAACAGCATTTGCTTAAACACTTCTGCGTGGAACACTCAATCTGCTATGATAGTACAGAAAGCAATTAGAAGCTACGCAGTATCCTAGTTAATCCTTTGAGTGGTATGGCTTTTTGAATCATGAAGACCTATGTTTGTAAACAAATTCTGTTAGCTAAATTTTTATAATTACTGATCTTAATATTTGTTTTTATAAAGTTCCATTCATTAAGATGATATTTGCATTATTAAGAAAGTAAGAAAGCAAAATACATTTAATTGTAATCTAATATATACCAAATGACAAAAAAAAAAAAAAAAAAAAAAAAAAAAAAAAAAAAAAAAAAAAAACCTCATGAGCTGATAAAGGCGATCATGCCAGTCATCATCGAACTGTTGAGAAAAGTGTTATTGCTAAAAAGATTCGTGTCATTTTATTTCTTTATAATAGTTAAGTTCGACTTTAAATAGTTAATCGATGGTGAATAATAAATTAGTGCGTGCGATAATCAAGCGATTTTTTTCAAAGACATTTAATTTGCAACAACATATCGTTGTTAATGAAGATGAAAAAATAGTTGACAGCTAAATCTCGGAATTCGTTTAAAAAATAAAAGTTTAAGATTTTTTTATCTGGAAATCTTACGTATAATGTTAAAACGAAAACGGTTGCTAGTTAAATCTCACTGTAATAAAATTTGCAAGTAAAATTTTACAACGAGAAGGAATACAGTAAATTTATACTTCCCAAATCCCAAACAAATATAAGTTACGTAAATATTCTCTTCTCTCTTCTCTTATTATGCTTCATTTAACATTACGAGAAAACTTTTTATTTAATCTTCTGAAGAATCCACTTTAGATACCTACCAATGAAAGGTTGTAGTCTTTTACTAATAAGATGAAAAATGTTCTACCTAAAAGCTCCTTTTCACACCACCGGATTTCAAAGAGTGCAATAAAACAGACGAATCGGATTAGGATCCGATTATTTGTGGAGTTTTATTTTGCTGTTTCATGGGTTCACGGGTGGAGGAACATCAAACAGACTTACCTTCCTATAAATCATATCTCAAATCTAAGACAACACCCGATGAGTGTTTGCGGCTGAGTTGGCTGCGGATGCTTTGAAAAAACTGGTCTTGGACCCATTCAGGATTTCAAACTTAAGTTGATTCTGTGAATTGCCTGTTTTAACTCTATTCAATCTTAATATTCTCGGGGGAAATTAAGTTGGTAGGAACTTGCCTTTACAATTAAATACTACTCTATTGGTGTTTAAACTTCTAATTTTTTTGGAAGTGTAGAAAAATTTAATCAAGAAAGTACTCGTATGTATGGGATATAACAAAAATAAAGCTGCTTATGTTAACGCTTTTATTTACTCAGAATAAATATACTCACAATAACTCATTTAGATATCAGAAAAGGAAACCACACTGAAAGAACAGGCTTTAAAAAATTGGTTTTCATTTACAAATTTGTACCAAGATTATATTTATACTTTTCTCGCATAACATTTAGAAGAAAGTTGAGTTGGCAAAATGTCTGCTTTGATGTTTTTGATGAAATTCATCTCTCGAGACCAAAAAGGAAAATCCCAACTAAAAAAAAAAAAAAAAAAAGGGGGAAGGAAAGGAAAAAGTTCCATTGTAATGGAAGTAATGTAGTATACTGATAGTATCATTTAAGTTCATATAAGCCTTATCGCAGCAAGAAGCAGTAATGAAGACCCATCATAGACTCACATTCATACGTGCTTTCACAAATTAACATTTGGTCAATACCAGTTTCCCTGAAATTTTCACCGAGACTAAAACTGAATTTGCAATGAAGTAAGATTAGCCTGACAGCGGAGAATTTGAGAAACCGGATTTCTGCAACTGTGGCTGAAATGTTCAAAGCAGCATTTTTAAATCAAATAAATTTTTCACTACGCAGTGATGGTTTAAATATTTAAAAAAGGCAAATGTATTAAAACCAGTAATAATAGATCTCATGGATTCTATAAATTACACTTAAAGAGCTCATAAGTTTAGAAAGACCAGGGTATGATCCCAGGAAAACCAATTTTTCCTCTTGAAAATCGTTACACTGAAAAGCTGACTTTGATTTCTGCAGTGCAAAATGTTTTTTGTGGGCTACAGTAGTGCCCTCGTAACTACTGTTAACAGTTCTAAGTCTTACCTTGAATAATAATGCAGATTATGTAAAAGATTAGTAGCTTCATTCTGTATTTGATTATCCAGCGGAATGAGCTGTTTGCATGACCGCTTCAGAGACTTGCAATCGCAACTTCATAACGGTGCATGGTCATAAAGGTTTCGGCACTTTTATGCAAATCGGCCAATATTCGGGAAAACAGAAACATTCATAAAGGTGCCCCCACCCTTAGACTGCTATCATACATCCTTTAGTTTAGAATGAACAAATGTTCCTATCTTCTTTTAACATTGAAAGATAGACGCAGGATATTTTTTTCTTTCCCAAAAAACTGTAAGTGGTTCGTTTTAGCAACCAATCAGCCATCAGCATCTAAACCACCATCATCGACCATCATTTGTAATGGAGAACTAGTATCCCCTTCCCATCTCCAAAGTGACCCGTCTTGATGGGCTGTTTTCTATCATGTAGCAGAGAAGAAAATTTTACTAAACAGTTGTTCTTACGAAATGTTTTGAATTTGTGATATGACCTTTAGGCAGATCAGCTTTTAACCCGTACAAAGACATCATCTTAAATGTACGGAAGAGTTAAAGGCCGGGGTACCACTATGTAAATAAGGTTTTAGTTTGCTACTTTGATTGGTAAAGCAAATAAAAATTCTACAGAGGCACAAAGGTGCCCTCACCTGAATAAAGTTTGAATTTTCAGGTTAGAGAATGATTCGCATAATGATACGATCACCTTTATGCCGGAACATTCTTAACATTAGACATTTTTTTAAATGAATGGCTCACTCGCACAAAGGTGCCGGCACATTTATGACGAGGCACCGTTGTGAAAGCGTTCTGGTTTACGTAATGTGTAAATTAAATTTGCTTTGCATAAGTTTCCTTTGAAAGTTCTCTATAAAGACACGCTAGCATCACAAGAACCTTTTTCATATTCTCCTCTTGAAATAGGTATATAATTAATTACTGAGTGCCTACTATAGGTATGTATTTTAGAAGGCTGTCCCATATTTTATGTTACACATCCAAAATTATGAAAATTCTTGTAGCAAAATCCTTCTTTCGCGAATGGAATCCTATCACTTTTCTGTCTTCATATTCTTTCGGCTTCTCTACGTTTCTAACAAACCGCTTTCCTGAAATAATTCTTTGATAGATTCTTCTTCTTCTCTCTACAGCCAACTCATCGGCCAAAAGTTAGTGAGTAGCAATAGGTATCGAGGAAGCTTACATCATCGCGTACCAAAGAAAAAAAAAAATAACGTGTGAGACAGAACCGGCGTACCGCCTTAAGAATAATAACAATATCTCGAAAAGAGAGAAGAAAAGATTACACTTGAAAAAAAAAAAAAAAAAAAAATCGAGACCTAAACCTGTTCTTTTGGGATGGGTTTTCGCTTCGAGACCCCCAGGTGAGTGCAGGGATTAGCGAAAGGTGCGAAGATGACTGATGTCACAGAGTGTAAGATCATTACCGCATAGGCGCGACGATGCGGTAGGTTCCAGGCATAAAAAATATCTATAAAAGGGCCGTGCAGGACCGCCTGGAGAAACCTGTAATTAAACGACCCCCTTCCCGTCAACGACATGGGGAGATGCGGGGGTTAACCACCCCCCGTCGATTCGACTTCACGTAATAGATTGTTTCTTTTTATCGCAGGGTTACACGGCTGCTGCCACTTTGGCCACTTTTTTTTCCTGCTTCATTCGCAACTAAACGCTGCTAATATGTCGTGGAATACGTAGCAGAGAGGAATGATTGTTTCAATTGTTTCGCTGTGGAGTACTGACTGGAGTTTTTGACTTCGATGACATGCGATGCAGTGCCGATGCCCGATTGAACTACCACAGATGGCTGTATGGATTTCTATGGAGTACAAGTAATCCGGTGTTTAAGTTCGTCAAAATTACCGTAACATGCAAAATTGTGTTATACGGAAAGAGCACAAAAATATGGTTTATTTTCAAAAGTTAATTAAAGGGTCACTTTTTTTGCTTTAAATACCAGAAACGTAGTTAACAAAATCATTTGACAAAACGTTTTAGCTCATTTCTTCCGTTTAAATAATAATACAATTGTTTTTAATAAATAGGAATCTATTGTTAAGAAGGTATTTGATTAATATATTTTAGAATTTCATTCCATTTATTTTATTTTATTACAAACTGCAACTGTTTTCTAGCAATTACCAAATTTAATAAGGATAATAATAACAGTATACTGCTAAAAATTATCTGCTAGTACTTACAGAAAATAAATCTTAGACACAAACCACTTAAAAAGAGAAAATACATATAAGTTACTAATTTTTAAGTTACTGATTTGAAGGGACAAAATGATAACTTAGCTATATAAATTCCAGCAGTTATTTCAATAAGCTCAGCGAATACTACGAACTTGATATACATAGATCGCATATGGTATGGTAATGTGCAGTAGCTTAGAAAGAGTATTGATGCTGGTCACAGTTTTGAGCCACTCTAAACTGCTATCTCTCCTTGAAAGTGCTGCTTGTAAACTCCTAAATTTACATACTACTGCCGATAAAATGAAAAAAGGAAAAGAGAAATAATAATTCAGTTGGTTAACTTATCAAGTTAAAACCTTACAACGATTGGCTGTTAAAGATTACCATTTTCTGTAATGAAAAGGTTCTTAGTTTACATGAAAGTATTTTAATCTTTTCGCAACATGTTTTTGTCGCAATATTTTATGGTATATCTTATGACATTTCCTTTCAAATTCATGTTATTTTGACACACGAAATATCTCAATTTCCCGTCACTAAATTTTTACAGTTGTGTAAAATTAATCTTTTGCGATAAAAGTTTCATTTTTTTATACAGTGGAACCTAGAGATACGAGTTTAATTTGTTCCAGCATTGAGATCGTATAGCGAATTTCTCGGATCTAGAAACAAACTTCCCCACTGAAAATAATGGAAATCCAGTTAATCCGTTCCGTATTCCCAAAAATATCAATATAAAACCAATTTTTCTAATAAACACTGGTAAATAATATAACCGTAGTTTACCTTTATGATAGCTTCCGACACCGACCTTTTAACTATTTCTCGTTAATTCACACCAACAACAGCTTCTCAACATCTTTTAGGAGTTTGGGATGGTGCTTGGAAGTAACGTAACTCCTTTGGCTACATCAAGTTTAATTTCTTCCTGCTTCTTCAGAATAGTGCAAATCGTCGATGTTGAAAGGCCGTAAGTCTTCGTCAATTTCGTCACTCTTACACGACGCTTCTTTATCTATGATTTCTTTCTTAATTTCAACGGCCATGGCTTCCTTCCCTTTCTTTGCAGCACTACTGAGGCAACAATCTTCTTGGGATGCATTGTGAAATAATTATTTTCACGTTAAATGTAATAAACAATTGACTCACAAGCGCACATATACGTAGATCAAATAATACCGAGTGATCTGACGACGGGATTCCCGTCAGATTCGGAAAATGGAGCCCCGCATACCAACACCCTGGCTCGTTGCTCGTTACTCGAGTCAATGCTCGTATTTAAAGACAAATGTTTCGCTCATACTTTACTCCTATCTTGCATTTCTCGTATATACAGGTGCTCGTATCCACTGTACTTCAGTGGCTCAAAGTTCCACTGTACTTCAGTCCACTGAAAAGGAGCTGAAGTTCCCAAAGCGTTCTTAAGATACAGAGCAATATTTCTGTGTTAAAGCTCTCAAGGGTGATTGGCCTAATTTCCGGCAAAAGTCTTCCATCAATGCCTTCATGGAAAGAGAAACTGCCTTATATTACGTTATAAATACAGAAAACCACAAAAGCTCCCGTGCAGCCGACACGTTTACCGGACTTCGAACCTGGTCGAACTACAAGTGTTTAGTGATCTTACCGCTTGGCCGCTGGTGGGCCTTCATCTGCTAATTTGATTGTTGCGATTCTAGAACTTGTTAGGTTGTAATTCTTGATAATATATGTTGCATTAATGAATAACTTCATTTATACTGAAACGTCTTTCAGGTATGGTTCAGCAATCGAAGAGCTCGTTGGAGGAAACAGTTAGGCAGCCAGAATCTTAACAGCTACAGCTCTCTAAATTTTGGTTACCAGCATGCCAACCCTTATCTAGTCTCAGATGCAACGTCTTACTCTATGCATACAGGTAACTAACTTTTTCCAGAAATTTTATCAAAAACTTGAAAAATGTTATAACTTTTTAATTTTTTTTTATTTTGCTGATTTTGCATCCAAGTAAAGATGTCTAAGACTTAACTTTCAGTGCAGAATTTCTTTATTGATCTTTAGCGGTTGTTTTTAATTAACAAAAATGATACATCACAGCAAAATTTTCATTGGTTGACTATTTTACATATTAAACAGGAAAGAACAATAAAATCCCAGAACTTTTTTTTTTTTTTTTTTTCATTAAAGACATAGCCTGGGCGCATATTTCACAAGTGCACATCTGTGTAGCCACCGAGGGAGTGGCTTCTAGGATGGACCAATGAGCATCCTGTGATATTTCTGTCATGTCACATGACCTTTCGCGTGCTTTAAGATTAAGCACGATGGTTGAAAATTTTCTGTCGCGCAATTTTCTGTACAAAACAATTAAAGCATCGTCGATTGCTTCTGAAACTTTTCATTGCGAAGTTAGTTCAAATATAGGCAATTATGAAGATTTCACTACATGGTTGAAATAAATACAAACACATGTTGGATACTTCGCAAAAAATATCGATGTGAAATATTACTTAAGTGGTAAATAAGATGAAGAAAGAAATATGTGATAAACATCTGAGCCCAAATGCAACTTTTACATAAAACTATGCGTATGAGAAAAATACTTATACCAGTTATATATGTAAATAGAAGTCAGCACTTTTTATTGCAGTCTATATGAAAAAGATGTTCTATAATAATAAGCAATGCAGAATTTTATTCAAAGTGAACTTTACTCATTTGCATTCATATACATTTAGTGTGTTAAATTTCTGATTTAATAACTGGCTCTTAAATGTATTGTCTACACAAGAAATAATACTCATCAAAGAGTGAATTTATCTTACTCACAACGAATATATTCAATTTATTTACATATGATTTTTAATGTTAGCAATGGATATAATCAGATTATATGTATTCTGAATCTTACACTTTAAAAATCAAAAGAATGCAAGCACTGAAATAAGAAAACACTAGATTCATTGCAACCCTTTCAGTCATTCTCAGCTCAATTAAAAAATATACACTTGAATTCTCTTAACCCACATAATATGCAGTGAACATCAGTCCAAATATTAATGCGTGATAAAAATTGCGAAAGTGATAAAAAATCGCGATTAATCAAACTCAGAAAACGAAAGCACTACGAGATTTTCTACTATTACGCCATATATTTATAACTGCGAAACAAATGCAAATTAAAACGTAAACAATATATGCTCACATGCACGAAGATTTAGCATCACAAGAGCAATAGCAGCTCATTGGTCCATTTTCGAAACTCCTCCCTCAGTAGCTACGCTGATGTGCACTTGTGAAATATGCAGCCCGGGCATATCTACTGCGATTAAAAATTACGCCTTATTCACTTCATGTTATGACTCTCGTGTCGTTTACTTCGCGTGTGTGTTCTCCATAGCATAATTTAAAATAAAAAATTTTTAAGCCACAGATTTGTAATTTCCTAACTTGAACTGTAGAGACATTAGGTATTTTTTGGAAGCAGGCAAGATGAAAAATATGCAACGCCTTCGCTGGGATCGAACCATGGACCTCTCAATAACGCGCTGAGCCTGCAGACCACTACACCACTAAGGCTCGCTAAGAAGGCGGGAGAAATACCTTATAGAACTACCATTTTAAGTCATTTAATGTAACGGCCAGTTAGGTGATCCATAAATCAAGATTTATGGATCACCTAGATAATAATAATCATAAATCAAGATAAATAATTTAGCAGTTGAATGAAGTGCTGTAATGCTAACATCAAAACACTGACATTTTATTACCACAATTTGTGAGTTAACAGAAGCAATAGAAGCGCTTTCTGCAGGAAGAGGCCAAACATGTCTGGAGTAATAGGCAAATTAAAAGTTCCAGCGTACAAGAAATGATACTCATTTGACATGAGCACCTGGAAATGAACCACTTTTGTCTACCAGCTACTTACTGTACATTAATTCTTCACTTGTCTACAATCCTCGCTCAATTTCAAGCGGCAGTGAGGTAACGGAAGAATAATCACAGAAACAAATCACTTCGGTGTGAAAGAACATAACAATTATTTATATTTAGCGAGCAGCTTTTACGTTCGAATCCAAGCCTTCCCTTTGCGTTAGGGAATTCTTCTGGAGTGAATTTTTGTACACATGATCATGATAAAATAAAAATTAAAAGTAACTTACAATAAACATTACCGTCTAATGATTAAGGTCGGGATTTAATATTATGCCAATGCAAATTATCACGAACACCTCACTCTAGCTTACATCATCTAACAGTTGTGCCAAATGCATTTATTCAAAATGAAACTTAAGACAGAATATATTTCCTTGCAAAGAAATTTACATCATATTATCAGGTTGAAATTGCAGAAAATCAAAGCGGAATCAGTATTGTTTCACGAAGAAGAATAGCATGAATTTCTGTTTCATCTTTGAATAAATATTTACTTACTTTTTTAATTTCAGATACGTCTTCGCTTCAGGCGGGTTCAACAGTTCCCTTACACCACCATCATTTGCATACGAACCCTGGTGATGCAAGAACCTCTCTAACTTACCCCAATCCCTTAGCGGAATGTGCTTATGTTGCCAACAATCCTGCTTTACAGTCACAGGTATGTTGTAACTTACTAGAAAAATCCATAAAAAAAATCTGATGTGTACACCACATGACTTCCTTGTATTGGAATATTAAATTGGAATATTAAATTAACGCATTTTTTCTTGCATTTCATTTAAACTTATTGGATTGAATTAAATCTACTTCGCCGACAGAGCATAAACCACAATAGAATAAATGCATTCTTTAAAATTCACTCTAGTATTTGATTACCATAGCGACACTCTGGCGCTAGATTCACTTAACAGTATTAATAATTATATAACAGTTAACTTATATAATAATTTTATAACGGAAACTAAGTTAACTGTTATATAATCCAATAATTATATAACAGTTAACTTATACATTTCGTTCATATTATAACTCATAATGCATAAAATTTATATCACTTAAAGAATAGGATTATCTAATCGTTGCCACATGTTCTATTCAAATACTAGAATAAAGCTAGAATGATGTATAAAAGAAATTAAGCAAACATAACAAAAACGAAACAGTTTTTCACAGACGATTGAGTATTTCTCATTTAATTAATTCAGTTCTCACTTCGCGAGAACGCAAAAATACATAAAAACTCAAAATATCTATATAATTAAAATTACGAAGTAAATCTCAAACGCTTATTTCTTCGAAAAAATTCCAGAAAGGATTAAGCATGATTTAAATCATAAATGAAGGCGTTATCTTTGTTGTTGCGAAGCGAAGTTTCTCTAGATTGGCAACAAATCCACTAGTCTCCTGTTTCAAATGTAAACATCAAAGGCCGCCATTAAAAAAGGCTTAGCGGCCATTAAACAACTTTAAAATTGCTGATAATTCTAAAAATATTGCACACAGATTTACTAAAGGCATAAAATCCTTAACCGGAAGATAAAAACAACATAATTCAATCATTTTTAAAGCAAAAAATGTACAATTTACAAACATATAAGAGTAAAGAAACTGAGATCACTGAGCCGGGTAACACAGTGGATATATATATATATTTACATACGTTTCGTGCGACCGATTGCAACCAAATACGAGGTGCACATCTACATGTTATAGCAGTCCTACATACAAAATTTCAACGTTCTGAGGCTACTCGTTTTTGAGGTATGCGAGATACGTACGTACGTACATACGTTCGTACAGACGCCACGAAAAATTCTCTTCAGAATTAATTTTAAAGCAGTTTTATAATTTTTTTGAAGGAAAAAAAGTATTTTATTCTGTCCTTACGTACAGATATCACGCAAAAACATCGTTAAATTGCATTTGATAGCGGTCAAAATGGATATTTTCGTTGAAATATGTTGCCTGAAACTTTTCGCGATTACAATACTTCCTTTTTACTTCGTACAAGGAAGTAAAAAGTATCTTCAGTAACTTCATAGAAATTTAGATTTAACATTGAAGCTAAAAAATTATTATAATGCAAGCTGTAACCAGCAAGAGACAAAGTAATAAATTATTTCTAAATCCTTTGTTACTTTTATTGCTTTCTTCTAGTATATGCATTATATCTAAGCGTTTCTCCGATGTACTTATGACAAGAATACCTGACCACAGGTGGCATTAGGGTCTAACATTTATAATAATTGCAGTCAAACTGGTGACTATGCTGATAATCTTTTATTCAAATTCCAGATAAGGTGCAAACATTTCTGACTGTAAAGTTTTTGTGGAATATGGAAACTTTAAATCCTCTGATACTAAAATTCTCTTGAGGGGTTGTTGGCATAAGAAAAAAGGGTAATCAATACTTGGATCTCAAACTCTGGATTGCATTCCATAAAAGCTGACGTTGAACCGCGTAAAACCATGTAGTCACCTCTGGCTCTTAAAGTCTGTTGCTGACGACAGGTTGCGCGTCTTCGGACGCTCAGTACTGTTAATAAAACCGCACATGGCTTTAGACTTCGTCAGTGTCCGCTACCTTCCACATTAATTCCCTCTTTTTCGTTTCATTCATTCCTTGAATGTCACTCTTTAATGCAGCGTTGTGTCCCCTTTTTACTTCCTTGTACGAAGTAAAAAGGAAGTATTGTAATCGCGAAAAGTTTCGGGCAGCATATTTCAACGACAATATCCATTTTAACCGCTATCGAATGCAATTTAACGATGTTTTTGCGTGATATCTGTACGTAAGGACAGAATAAAATACTCTTTTCATTCAAAAAAAAAAAAAAAAAAAATATAAAACTGCTTTAAAATTAATTCTGAAGAGAATTTTCCGTGGCGTCTGTACGAACGTATGTACGTACGTGCGTGCGTACGTACGTATCTTGCATAACTCAAAAACGAGTAGCCTCAGAACGTTGAAATTTTGTATATAGGACTGCTTAACATGTAGATGTGCACCTCGTATTTTGGTTGCAATCGGTCGCACCAAACGTATATAAATATATTTATATACGTATTTTATATTTATATATATATCCACTCTATTACCCGGCTCAGTGATCTCAGTTTCTTTACTCTTATATGTTTGTAAATTGTACATTTTTTGCTTTAAAAATGATTGAATTATGTTGTTTTTATCTTCCGGTTAAGGATTTTATGCCTTTAGTAAATCTGTGTGCAATATTTTTAGAATTGTGCAATATTTTAGAATTTATTATTAATTTTAAAGTTGTTTAATGGCCGCTAAGCCTGTTTTTAATGGCGGCCATTGATGTTTACATTTGAAACAGGAGACTAGTGGATTTGTTGCCAATCTAGAGAAACTTCGCTTCGCAACAACAAAGATAACGCCTTCATTTATGATTTAAATCATGCTTAATCCTTTCTGGAATTTTTTCGAAGAAATAAGCGTTTGAGATTTACTTTGTAATTTTTAATATAGATATTTTGAGTTTTTATGTATTTTTGCGTTCTTGCGAATTGAGAACTGAATTAATTAAATGAGAAATACTCAATTGTCTGTGAAAAACTTTTTGTTTTGTTGCTTAATATCTTTTATACATAGTTCTAGCTTTATTATAGTATTTGAATAGAACATGTGGCAACGATTAGATAATTCTTTAAATGATATACATTTTGTGCATTCTGAGTTATAATATGAATGAAATATAATACTGTTAAGTAAACCTAGCGCCAGAGTTTCGCTATGGTAAAACAAAGTGAATTTTAAAGAATGCATTTATTCTATTGTGGTTTATGCGCTGTCGGCGAAGTAGGTTTAATTCAATCTAATAAGTTTAAATAAAATGCAAGAAAAAATGCGTATAATTTAATATTCCGTACAAGGATGTCATTTGTGGTGTACACATCAGATTTTTTATTATTAAGTTTACATCTAGTTAAAGCAACAAAGCGGCGGTTCCACTGCTCCAAAATTAAAGTGTAACAGATGCATTATTAAGAATAATATAATTGTGTTATTAAACATATAAATAAATCCTCTTCAAACGCGACCATCCATAATTCTAAAGAATTTTGGAGCTCTGTGGATGTTGTAGTCACAGAGTGGTGATGTTCACTGCCAGTGTTTGTTTATGTTTTCAAAAATACCTGTTTATTTCAGAAGCATTGCTTAAGGAGTTAGCCGCCACTATAGGGTTCGCTATAATTATTTTTTAATAGATGATGTAATTAATTTAATCTAATGCCAAGTAAAAAATAAAACTATGTTTTTTTCCTTCAATTAGCTGTTATGTGGGTTTGTTTTCTGTACATTTTTTATTTTAGACCACTGATATATATGTCCATGTGCATTGAACATATTAAAAAAATTGCATAATAAAATTATAAAAAATTTAAAACATTAATAATAATTTTTCTATTATCATACAGCATACTATACGCAGCAGTCTGATCTTTATAACACATGCAATTATAAATATATATTCATATAATTATAAAATTTTATTAGAAATGTTATATGTGCAGTTAGGTCAAGCGAAAGTGAGCCATGCGTAGCTAAGGGGGAGATGCTTGGTTTGGTTTGGTTTCTTTGGTTATGGCAAAGTGCGCTAGGGCTATATGCCTAAGGGAATGTTTGCCTTCATGGAGGTCTTTCCAAGGAAAACTGGCTCATATCCACGCTACATATAAGGAAAACCACGAAAACGTTCGCGCAGCCAACCCGTTTGCCTGCAGTCGAACTCAAGTCGAACTACTACTGCTCAGCGACTTCATTACTCTGCCGCTAAAATGTTGCACCCTTAAATGATTCAACAATAGAAAATGCACCAAAAGTGGTTCATTTCGTTTCCTAACAGCTCTGATTAATGGGGAAATTTCAACAATTGTTCAAGTTTTCACCCTCGTAAAACGTCTAGCAAGAAGAACATTTACTTTTACTTTACGAATATCATTGATTTGCAATCTTGTAAATATTTATTCTTATATATATGAACACTAATAACATTAATATGCAAGCATATAAATTTCTTTCGGATTTAAACACTTTTTTATTTAAAAAATTTTCCCCTGTTTCCACGTAAAAAGTTAAAAAAAAAAAAAAAAAAAAAAAAAACAAGGGGATTTAAAAACTTCGATTTCTTAATCTTTAATCTTAAATCTTTAAATTATATTATCTTTTCTCATGCAATTCGAAATTATTTTTACTTTATGCTCTTTTTTTCTGAGCAATTTTGCAAGAATATTGTAGTCTTTGAATATAAGAATAATTCAGTCATTTGAAATGAAATAAAAAAAAATATTTTGGTCCGAAGAGTATTGAACGATATGAAAGAGAAATTTCAATCCACTAAACTCATATTCCTTATGCGATGAGTTTTATCACATATTCGTGAAATGAAATAACACCAAAAGAAATTGCAATTATTTAAAAAGATAGAAATTGTGTTATGAGGTGTAATCCGATGCAATGCTCGCTATTCCGCAAAGCTACAGGCTGCGGCAGGGAAACTTCCTTATTATTAACGAGCGCCATCTAGCGACATTACATTTATTCCGAGAAGGGTGGGGTGGCGCTCATTGAAAAGAGCGGTATCTAAAGTTTTATGTCATGTAAGTTTAATACCGATCATGCAGTGGACGAGA